GTGACCCCAAAGGTAGGATTATATCAATCCCTGGAACCTCTAAGTGTTACTGTAGTTTTTAACATATGTGATTAAGGTAGGGATTGTGAGATATGGGGTTTATCCTGGCCCTAAATGCTATCAAAAATGTCCTTACAAGAGAGGCACAGAAGATTTGATGCACAGCAGGTAACCACGGAGACAGAGATTGGAGTGCGATGTGCCCACCAGTCAGAGAATGCTGACGACTGCCAGAAGCCGGAAGAGACAAGCAATGGACTCTCCCCAGAGCCGCTTTCTAGAGGGAGTGCGGTCCTGCTGACATCGTGACTTCAGCCCAATGATGCTGGTGTTGAACTTCTGGCCTTCAGGGTCGAGAGAGTACATTTCTGTTGTTTTTATGAGAATTTGTCATAGCGGCTCCGGGAAACTAATGACTAATACAGTTAAGTAACATAATTTACTCATAAAATGACTTTTAAGACTCTGGACTTCATTATATAGGTTTCCCTGTGTAATCTAATAGAAAATTATTATTCTTGTATTTCTGGAGTAAATCCTACTTGGTCCTGCTACATTTTAAAAATACATGCATCTTATTTTAATTTTGGGACAGATCGTCTAGGCTCTGTATTATAGCCATAGTGTGCCTAGAATCAAACAATACATGATCAAAGTGTAAGCTGGCCTGAGCCCACGGACGAGGACAGTTAGTTCCTGACAGTGATGTTGGTCCTCCAGCAAGGCTTGCAAGTGTGCTGCAACCAGCATGGGAATATCTGAAAAATGGCTGAACTCCATGCCGTGAAGGGAGCTTTCTTTTTCCTTCCGAAAGCACATATGATAATTTTTCGAATATACATTTGTGAGAGTGTATGTACTTATAGTGTCAAACACAAGGCACCTGTTATGACTAAAAAGAACTGTGGATAGTAGAGTCCTGTTTAGAATGTAAGCTTAATTCGTGAGGATGCTGTTGATGACGTCACTCTATGCTCAGAAATTTCCCATAATTCTTAGTCTCTAAAAGATGAAGTGTAGGCTCCTTGACATGATATTAAAACAAGACAAAACAAAACAAAAAACTGTCATGGTCTGGCTCTTGCTTACCATCCATCCGCATCTTACATTATGATCGGTATGGTCCCTTTTAGACCAAGTCATTTTAGGATTCTGTTTCCCTACATGAACCTGCTTAAGGTCTACCCATATTTTAGAGCAATGAAGAAGGAAAGCAAGGAATCGGAGAAAGAAATGGAATGTGTGGCTAATTGCCACCTTTGCCATGAGATCAGAGGAACTGGATGATGCTTGGCTATTACTACTTTAACATTTTGATCAAAGATTGTGTAGAAGAATCCTGATCAAAAGGGAGGAAATACACAACAGAATTTCATATTCTCATAGACTCCAGGCTTTGTAGAGTCATGGAAGCTGGATGAACCCCTGCAACGATTGCCCTGAGATAATCTTTAGGTCTTAAACCAAAAATATCTCCTGAAATCGTCTTTAAATCAAACGCTAGTAATAACACTAATAACACTAGTAGCTTAATTAGTGAAGATAGTGAAGAATGTCAGCTTTGAGGCGGCCAACAAACACATGCAGAAATGTTTGGGATCATTAGCCATTAAACAAACAAAAAAAAAAACTCACTGCTGTCGAGTCTATTGCAACTCATAGTGACCCCTCCTTGGGTTTCTGAGGCGGTGTCCCTATGGAAGTAGATTGCCCAACATTCCTTCTGAGGAGTGGCTGGTGAGTTTGAACCACCAGCCTTCTGGTTAGCAGTCAGATACCTTAGGCACTACGCCACCAGAGCTCCCCATTAGCCATTAAAGAGATGCAGATCAAAACAACAGTGAGATACCATCTTGGCCCCAGCACTAGTACCAAAGTTCAGCAAGACAGAAAATAAATGCTGGTGAGGATGTAGAAAGATTGGGACCCTCATACACTGCTGGTGGGACTGTCAATGATACAACCACTGTGGAAAGCAGTATGTCGATTCCTTAAAAACTTGGAAATAGAAATACCATTTGACCCAGCCATTCCATTACTAGGTACATATCCTAAAGAAGTGAGATCCAGGACAAGAAGAGATATATGCACACTCATGTTCATTGAAGCACTATTTACAATAGCAAAATGGAAACAACCTATGTACCTATCAACAGAAGAATGGATAACCTCAAACTATGGTACATATACACAATGGAATACTATGCAACCCTAAAGAATAACATAGAATCTGCAGAACACTGCATCATGTGGGTGAACTTGGAGGACATTGTCCTGAGTGAAATAAGTCAATCACAGGACAAATACTGTATTAGTCTGTTATTGTAAAAAGTCAAGGAAAGGTTTATCTATGGAAGGAAATTTCCTTTGTTGGTTATGAGGGGTAGAAGGGGAGGGTAGGAAACACTGTTAGATGGGTAGAGACAAGTATTGATTTGGGTGAAGAGAAGGGCAATGTACCAGATGTGAGTGATCAACATGGTGGCATTGAGGAAGAAGAAGACATAGAGAGGTAC